CAGAAAGGCGTAACCATATATTATTACAAGAAAAGGTAGGCCTTCGACTAATAAATCGAAGACATAAAGCTGAGGCTAACTTAGTAGAATTCAATTGAGCTTGGGTATTTAATCAATATCAAAAATGAAAAGCTCGAGAAATAAATTCCCAGCAAATTATTTTAAATCTACAAAATAATCTGCTTATTAATCTACCAAATATGGCAGAAGCTAGACGTCAACTGATATACAGGAGATATAATTAGTATTGACCAGTTTTGCAAATTCGTTTATTAAAATACTAACATAAAAACTTTATTATTTTTTTATTTAATCAAATTACAGGTTAATATTTAGTTAGACCCCATTAGCTACAAGAACAGCTTGAATCCGACATAGCATTGATTTAATCAAATTGCAGTAATAATTTATGGGTATCGCATCCTATTTCTCTTTAACTCATATTTCCAATTGCGTAACACTTGACAGCTGTGAAGTTCGTTTGCGGATCTTAACCTCAATATAAGACCAAAGATTCTCTATTGGATTAATATTAGGACTTTGAGCCGGCCAGGGAAGTACCTCAACTTTTGAGGATATGAGAAAAGAACGGGTAACCTTTGCGGTTGAACAGGTGCGTTATCTTCTTGAAAAAGAAATTTTTTTTGGTTTTTTTGCATGAGATTTAACTGTAGGAATTGCATAATTAACCAAAATTTCCTTGTGTGAAATTCCAGTAACGTGACCAACCAAAGGAACCAAAGGACCTAAACCAACCCAGGAAAAACACCCCCAAAACATGCGACCAAAGCTTTTTTGGACTGTAGCAGCAATACAGTCTTTATGGAACTCTTCTGATGGTTCACGCAATACACGCCCAAAACCTGAAGTCCTAAATTGTGTGTAGGTAGACTCGTCTGACCAAACGATTTTTTTAAAATCCTCTACTGTCCAATTTTCATAAGTACGAGCCCACAAATATCATTTTTCTTTATTACTATCAGAAATTAATGGACTGAGACGGGGAATGCGTGAATGGAGACTTTCTTTAGCTAATTCTTTATGAATAGTTTGTGTAGAAACTGTTTTATGTGTTTTATTTATATAATTTAAATGTATTTGAGAGAGGGTTTGACGACGGGTTTTTTTGTTTCTAAGAATAGAACGCTTTAAACGTTTGCGTTCAAAGTTATTAAAAATCCTTGGTCAACCTGTTCTTTTCTTTAGAAGGCTTTTTAGCTCATACAAATTCCACACAAGTCGTATTGAAAAACGAGAGCAACCAATAACTGTGGAAATCCTGCTATTAGAATGGCTTAACTTCTTTGCTGCAATAATTCCTCCTTTTTGACTTTGGGTAAGTTCTTTTCCAAGACACATTATTGCGACAATTTTTTTTCACTATATAAATTTGTGGCTTTGATTTGTGTGCCCAAGTGACCCCTTTTATGTCTTACAATATTAATTATTTATGTTATTTTTAAAAATACAAATCACGTGTAACTAAAAACAATAAATATAGCTTGATTTAGTAAGGGTAAAATGTCACGCGTTTCTTTTTTATTAAGTTTAATTGGATGGCTAATATTAATTATACCCCCCTATATGCTATATAGGTTGTCAGTATACACTATATATATTTAGTTTGTATCTTATATCTCTTAATAAATACCTGTATACTATATCAGTTATCAGTATAGATTATATAAAATTAGTTTATACTTTGTAACTTCTTACAATATATGCCCCTGATATAATAACTCCCTATTAAAATACCCTACTGCTCATTATACCCTGCTCTTCATAAGATACCCATGGGTATAAATCAATTTTTAAATTGAAAATTTTGATTTATATCCAGGGTATCTTATGCAGTGCTTTATGGTAGCTTTACCATCAGGAAATAGGTGCAGAAATAAAAGGGGTTCAAGGTTTGGATCATAAATTAAGATAGGTAATGAGGTATTATTATCATTTTTAAAGATAGTTTCCATAACTATTTTCAAATTTTAATTGAGTTGCAATTTAATTGCATCATAAGTAAATTTAATTACGCCACAAGTTATAACTCAATTTCCAATTTTTAGTCATTGCAAATGAATTCAGCTATTAGATGTAAGTAGTGAAAGTCTTCATCATAAACTTCATTAAGTAAGTTTGTAATTGGTATTATTATATCACGTTAGTTTACGAGTGATGTAGAATTATCATTTGGAATATGTGTAGCAAATAAGAATGATCCTGTTATTATTGTATCAAGTTTTTGCAAGTTTTTGATGTAAAATAGTTGTGTAGCTATTTAAGTAGGAGTTGTGTATACTTAGCCAAAGAATAGCTTGTAAAAGAGTATTATCAAATATTTCTTTATTTGGAATATGATTAGAATTAAGTGGTTGTTGGTAAGCTCCTATCATATCAGAGTATAATGCTAGTACTTTAAAATTGATTGAATAGCCTATAGTTCCCATGAAGCTATGATATTCTGAGTAATTATTGAGGTTTGAATTTCATTCAAGAAAGCAATATACTATAGGTAGGTATACAGGTGATAGGAATTTTCTGCAGTATATAGGTACAATTTTGATCTTACCTGAAATCTTAGCTAGTATTGGAAATTAGTATCTGTTTTGAGGTTTTACACATGATTTGCATGAAGGGATTTTGGTGATTTGACATCTTAATATATTATATTCAGTTAGTACATTAATTTGTTCAATTTGTTCGATTGGATAGATTATTAAGGGTTCATGCATAATCCAAGTAGCTTTGTTTTTATATAGTAACTTTTCACAGTAAATACAAGAAACATTAGGATATTCCTTCAATATAGTTATTTGGAATTTTCTATAGATTTGCTAGAAGGCTTCACTTGATCTCTACAGATTGTTATTTGTTGATATAAATAAAGTTTAGTTTATTAAAAGGTCTGAATTTTGATTATTCATATAAGTAGTTAAGATGTTAATATCTTGAAATAATGATTGAGAGTTCATTAGATTGGTAAGAGATGAATTATCAGAAGTAAGTTAATCATATTTTCAGATAATATATCCACTGGTCGAAATAGGTACAAATCGGCTAAAAATCAGACAGACGATTAATAGATGATTAATGGCTAATTTAGGGCTGATTTGCATTAATTCTGATTGACACAATATGAGTCAATCAGAAATATCAATTGGTCATCAATCGGCTATCTAAAATTAAATCATTAATCAACCTAAATTAGCCTAGTAAATCGGAATTAAAAATAACTAATTTATATTTATTTAAATTTTATTAATTTTATAATTTTATAATTTTATTATTTTT